AAAACTTTTCCAAGAAATGCATATGTTACTCTTCAAATAATTTTCTAGAACAGTAATCATTCATCTTGCTATTTCAGTCACTGCATCCCAGAAAAGGCCTAACAATCTTTCTGTTTTTCTTAAACTATATTATCTGCAAAAATGTTTATTTTAAAAATTTAGTAACAGAGCAATTGATTTCCAACTACTGGAACTGTTCAAGGTACTTGTCATTACGAATTAGAATTAAATTATCTATTTTCCTCAGTTGCTATTCTGACCAACCCTTAAGCCAGAAGGAGGAAGACAAAGGTGATGCCAGTCAAAAAAAAAAAAAAAAAAAAAAAAAAAAGTGGTCTTGTTTACCACCTGGTACCTTTGAGCCAGCAAACAAAAGGATGTACACAACTATAATGTAACAGGACAAGATGCTCAGGCTTCACAGCCTGACGGAAGGAACCAACCTGAAGGAAGAGTCTTTTTCCTTTAGTACCCACAATGATTCAGTGTCCCACAATCCAGAAGACACTGTTCCTCTGCTGTAAAATTAAGACAAAATTTCACATGGGAGACCTGCCAGGAATTATCAAGACCTGCAGGTAGCAGAAAAAATAAGGAATTCTTTCAGTTGTGGGATTCTTTTCTCCTGAATCTAGTAGTTCCTTTTCTATTTCCCAAGTTCCTTGTCAGTGTTTTATTTTAAGAGCATCAGTTTTCCACAGTCATGAAGGCAGCTAGCTGATCCAAAACAAGTTCAAATGTTTGATTCAAAGGTATCATAATTAATGATTTATCAAGCTTCTGAGTCTTAGAATCACACAATTAGGTTGTCTTTCTGAACCTAAGCTACAGTTTTTTGAAGCCAAATGCATAAAAGATATACATGATATTCAGCAAGTTAAGGAGAGCTCCTCTGTCAATGAATCAGCGATGAACTGGTTGATTACATGGCCAACATTTCACACTGGCCAGAGGGAAAGCCCATTTGCCTAGCTACCCCCATCTCATGGGAACCAAATGGCTGTAAAAAAAATTATATGGAAACTGCTAACCATGAAAATTGTGGTATGGCTGACCAGAAAGCATCCTCACTGCTATTGAGCACAGAGTAAGAACTGTTCATGGTACCTCCCCTTCTAGCTTCTTTAAAGTTACTCTAAAATTCTTGCTTCATGTGTCTGTAGTTACTTTCCTGGCTGAGACAATGAGGAAATGTCATATTTGGTGAATTCACACAGTTTTAATGGTTACAAACAAATAAGCACCTGCATATCAGGAATGCACAGCTACTGTCAAGACTCAGGCCATCATGTTAACTCCTGATATTAGTGGCTTGTGCTGGTGCCCTCACCTCCCACCCTGCACACAAGCCATACATATGCTGACAAAAGGCCCCACAACTTTGATTCGTGGCATTTTTTACTTTGAATGTACAGGTTTTTCACTGGATCTGAGTTTCCTATGGGTTTAATTACTTTTTCTACATCCTGTTTCCATATCTTGTCTTAGATCAAAAAAAAATAATAAAAAAATAAAAAAATTCGAGGGCAAGAACGGAAAAATGCTTTTGAAACTCTGACTTCTCTCAGTCCTAGTATTTCCTTCCACCTTTACAAATGACTCAGGAGGTTTGTAGTAATATTGGAAATGAGCTCAAAGACCTTGTCTTTCGACTACAAATGACCAAACATCATTCTTAACTCCCCAGCTGCTGACACTCTGTTGTCCCCTACAATAAACCTTGGGTTTAGGTAGTATTAATCCAATTAAGATTTTCAAAATTCTACCTCACCACAACAGCTGGTCCCACATACTGGTAAAAATAGATATTTGGTGTACACAGTTTCAATACTGTCCTTTTGCAGTGAGAGCATTTTTTAGCCCACAGGCTCTCATCTATTTTTTTGGCATGAGATCCTTTCTGTTTTTCATTATTCAAGTAGCCACCTACTTTTTTTTTTGTCCTCAGGAGCATGTAAGGTCCAGCTGAGGATCCAAAGCTACACACAGGGAGGCTCGTGTTGAGAAAGGAAATTGGAACCCTGGATTAGATTTCAGCTGAATTAAGTGGCTGTGTTGTGACAGGGGTTTCTCAAAATACTTCATAAATTTCTCTCTCTCCCATCTGCATCAATGCTTATTGCTAACATATTTTGGCATGCTAGTTGCTTTCTCCTTCTTTGAAAAGGAAATGGGAAAGCCTCTAAAGAGTACAAATTTCAGTCTTTCTCCCTCCAAATTTCTCAGAGGATGATTGCCAGACAGCAAGAGAAATTTGAGGGACTCCATACTGCTCAGCACAGCATGTTTTTATGCAAAGACTAGGCACAAACCTATCTTTTAGGGCACCAGCAACACTGCTAAGGCAAAAGAAATGGCATTATAATGAAATTGCCCCATTTTAAAAGGTCTTGTTCTGGAATGTAAGCCAAATTCAGGACTTGGCAAATGAACGTGTTTGATTGCTTGGTTATTACCCAAGTTTCCTCCTCTGCTTCCAGCTTGGGTCTTGTCAACACAAACTTAGAGACTGTAAAATTACAGATGGGTCCAGCAGCAGTTTCTCTGCTCTCATATGTTTTTTTTTCTTCTTCCTTAATTTTACCTTATACTACAGCTGAAATTGTGGTTCACAGAACAAATGTTGCATTTAATTCTATCCAACTGTATTCGATCAAGACAGTTAATTACTTTCCCATTCACGTGTCAACAGTTCAAGGTTAATTGTCCCTGTTATGTTCTGGCTTTATCCCTGCCCAGCCCTGAACCTGACAGTACCAATTCCAAAAAAGAAAAAAAATACATTACATTTGCCATCAGGAGGACAAGTCTATCAAACAGAAATGCTACTGCATTAGAACGGAGTCTGTCCTTAGCACATGTGTCCAAGGACTAGCAAGGAAGACCCAGCCCAGCTCTGAGAGGCACATGCACTGTTGACATTTCTGTGTACACACTCATGCGCCCAACCTCACACTGCAGAAGCTGGGTCCACGATCCACACAGGACCAGCAATATTTTATTTCATCAGAAGCAATCAGGAAACAAAACTACACCAAACAGTGTTGCTGCTTTTTTGCTTTGTGGCTGTAGCTGTTCTCAGACCTTTCCCATACAACACCTCCCCAACAGATTTCACACCTTCAACCACCTCCCTCTTAGGGCACCTGCTGAGCTTGCACAATAAATTGCTTCTCCTCACCTCCTTGAGCTGCATTCAAGATGGACCACAGCACACTCTGATGCAGATAGAAAAACATCTAAAATCAGTAGATCTGGTTTTGAATGGTTTGTGAGGACCTTGACAAGCACAACATTTGCCTGGAGTCATAGACCCTCATCCCAGAACAGGGAACCATACTGGACTTACAAGTGTGGGTCCTTCACAGCCTCAGGTATTGCAATTATCAAGAACACGCTAAATAGGTAGGGGTTCCTTTGCCTTCAGAAACGTCCACTGACTTTTCAAAGGTTCTTGAAAGGCTTTGCACTAGAAAAGTGTAAGAAAATATTCCCCTTTTCCTTTGCATTAAAAAAGTAGGACGCAGAAGTGAGATGAGTCGTTGCTGCATTTATATAAACTAAGTAGAAATTCTGGTGACCAAGTTTCATTTCCCCACAAATATATAATTCCCAGACATATTCAGTTTACCCTAAAAGACCCGAAAGCATTGAAAATGCATCGTTTTCCAAATTAGGTTACTGATGGAGCCTCCCTGCGCAGGGTACGAGGGGCCTCTTGTGGTGGCCGAGCGGCTGGCTCAGCGCTCCCGCACGGCAGCCAGGCTCCAACAAATGCCAGTAGCAGGAAAAATGAGATCCAAATTTATCTCTCTCGTTAGAGGAACCTAACTTGTTTAATACATGAGGCATTAGTGTATAACCCAATATCGCAACCTAGTTTATCATCCTGGTCTCCAGCTATGAACACAAGGGGTCTAAAAATAAAACAGTGCACTCTCAGTAATATTTTATTAAATGCTGTCAAATCTAATGCAGTCTGCCTAACCACCGTGTCACAAAAATAATACCTGCTGGAAAAGCTCACCGAGCTTCAGTTTGAACCTAGTTTAGTGGAGGAGATAGTAAAATTGTCCCTGTTAGTCCAAGACCAGAATTCTTAGCACAGAACACCTCTGTTGGATCTGTGAGCCTGCCTTGTGCTTTACGTTAGGTGACATTGCTTCAACTCTGCAACTGAAGGCAGAGTTAAACTAACAAACTACTTTAAGAACCCCACTAGCAATGATCTCTAGATTTTTGTAGTGAACTCAGAAGCTACCAAATTCTGCTCCATGACTGGCGACAGAGCTTCATATAGCTGACCAACATGCACTCTTAGCAAGGATCCAGATGAACTGTTCACACCCCTCCTGCACACCTCAGTCAAACAGTGGGACACATCCTACTTTTATTTAGCTGGTCTAACCCACACCAGGGAAACTTCTCTCTCCTGTATTTTTTTAAAACTATTCAATTATTTCACATGCTCTAATCTATACTTTCCTCAAAACCGATGCATTCTATCACAAAGCTGTAAACAATATTTACAGGGTATATAATTATCTGCTGATTTATTGACCTAAAAGATTCCACTCCAGAGATAGTCAAAAAGCCACTTGTTTTCAGAAAATGGGCCTCCAGCCAGTAGTCAACCAGTCTACAGGGTGGCATGAATATTTATTCCAAAAACCAAATTTAAGTTTTAATCCCTAGGTCAAGCTCTCTAAGTCTCTTTTAGAGAAAAAACAAACCCTACAAACCACATTTATTTGTAGGAAAAGTACCACAATTTCGGGTTTTTTGGGGAACAGAAAGTGCTAAACACACTTGAAAATCTTTCTGCAGAAGAACGCAACACCATTTGGAAACACCTCTTCCCATCAAGAGCATTGCTAATATCTGCTGTGTCCAATATACAATATTGCCAAGTTCCACATCTAACATACATGGTCACACATTCAACTGTACCTACAAGAGGCACATCTGCTTGCAGGTTCCTTCCAGATACTACTACTCACCTAAAAGTCCCTCTTTCACGATCAGCCCAAAATTTAACTTTCATTAATCCAAAGTCCTAGAAAGGAACCCAACAAAAAGGAACAAATAGGAAAACTGTGTCCCAGCGCTGTACTCACCGGTGTGCTGCTGTCGGAAAAGGTGTTCATGCTGATGGACCTGCTCATCTTGTCAGAGGAGAGGGACGGTGGGGAGGGACTGCGCTTGTCCAGCTGCTCATGGTGTGGTAGGTCTTGGCGCTGGAGGTACTCACGCCATGCTCGCTGGATACTGCCACAAACACCAAGGCACAGGGTTGGGAGAGGAATGTAGCAACAAAAAAGCTTTAAAATATACATTCCTGACTGAAAAGGTGGGTTTTGGTGGTTTGGTGGGGTTTTTTGTTCACTTTGTTTTCCCATTTGGGTAATGCTCACATATAACTACCCTCTGTAGGTCTTATTTTAGCCACTAGTAGCATAACTTGAGGTATCTGTTAAGCAGAAACAATTCTTTATTTCAACCTACAGAACTGATTTAAATTTGAGACTATACATAATTCAGCAGTTCTCTTATATCTTGCAAACAAAATAAAAATACGCAATTATCTGTTTAAAAGAATGAACAGCCTTCAAAATTTTATATCAGCTTTCAGATTATAATGCAGATATGTTTGGAAGTTCAGAGCTAGACTAGTATCCTTTAAAATCTCCTCTGTCCTGGGTAGCTGGGGACTTAAAACCTCCTCCAAAGTGACACATGGGGATTGCAGTAGGAGCTCTGCTTCCAAATTCTAAACTTTTACCAAGTTGTTAAAACCTGATGTGAATTTCTGCAAAGAAATTCCATTTTCCGTGCCGGCCGGTGGCCAGAGCAGCTCTCACCAGGTGGCAGTGCCGGACCGTCAGTGCCAGAGAGACCAGTGAGAGATGCTGGGAACTAAAACTGTGTTTACAATAGTCATGGCATTAACACACACTATGTGGCTGTTTGCACACAGAATGATCTGAGAATTCAGAAAAGTGGAGCCAAGTTCTGACCTGAGCCTTGGCTGTGTTACTGCAGCGCAATGAGCTAGAAAGAGCTCCTTTTAGGATTTTTAAACGATTAAGAGTTTATTCTCTGGGATATCAAATCAGTAAAACCTTTGGTGTGTCTATTAATCAGGTAGAGCACCCTGACCTTTGTTTAAGTTGTTCTCAGTGGTGCACAGCTCCTGTACTGCTCTGCCGGGAGCAGGTGGGAACCAGCACTCCTCCACCCTGCCTGCTCCCAAAGGGCTTGGCACATTCAGCACCCAGCCTTATTGCTGGGGGGGTCCCCAGGAGGGGTCCCATGCCCAAACCCCTCCTGGCCCTACTCTCACTCACTGTAACTGCATCCCAGGGCAGTGCAGAAGGCAATGCTCCTTCCTGAAGGAACATTACCAAGTGCTTTATGGTTCAAACCAAAAGGTCCAAAGACTTTGGCATTGATTTACTTTGTCCTAGTAATACTTTTTTTTTTTTTTTTTTTTCCTTTTTTTTGCCTTGCCTTTTTAATAGTCAAGATGTCATTTTTGCTCCCACCTCCACAAGCCAGAAAAACACTTAGACACTTAGCCGGCAGCCACCACTGAAGAGGCATTTGGTCCCACATTGGCACGTCCAACAGGAAAACAGTGCTTCTCGGCTTCACAGGAGGAGGGTGAAGTTCAACACCTACAACTTCTCATTGACTGCCTACCATGTGGGGAAGTCCAGAGAGTGGGAAGTTCCTCTTGGTGTGTAATTTTTCCTTGGTCAGGCAACAATGCTCTCAAAACACACGGCATTTTGAACATCTCAAGGTTGAGAAAAATCAAATACGTGTATTTTGTTTGGGTTTTTTCTTTAGAAGAATAACAGATCAGAAACAAACCAGCATTCATCACAGCCACATCAGGATAGGTGCACTTTAGAGCTAGTCAGGTAGGTTAAATCCTGTGTTGTTTTCCTACAGGAGCTTTAAAATGCACAGCAAAGCTCCCAAATGTGAGTGCCAACACCGGAGCTTTCAGTAAATGCATTTTGCTTCAGAAAAATCCCCAGATCTTCACACCTCAAGCATTTACACTTCGTATTGTTTAAGTTTCAAGCTTGGCTGCATATATACAAGTAGTATTTACATGTTTATATTTACATGTATTTTCTATTTTAAAGCTCAAGGTTACTGAGCTTTATACTGAGGTTAAGTATATTCCTTCCAGAATAAGTATATCCCTTCCAGAAACCTCTCTGAAAGTTTATTCTTCCATCTGGCTTATATTTGCATGACTAAAAGATGCTGGCTTGATTTTAATTTGAAACTTCGTGTCCTTTTAATATTTAAAAATAGCATTAATATTTTAAAGTCCTGTATAGCAAGTTGGCTGTAGCTTTTCAACTGAAAGTGAAAATTCAGTATGTTGTGTAGCAACGCATCCAACTCAGTGTCACAGAATTTTGTCACAAAGCAGTTTGCGTCTTCAGCGTAAAGAGGTTCATACTTTTTGATGCAAGTGGATCCATGTTAAACTTTTGGTGTCTGCTGGGGAATCCAGGGGCACTGTGTTAATGCAGAGTTGGTGCCAGCTGGATGGAGCCAACGCTTGCACCACGGCTGGAGTCCTCTGCTCCATCACACATGTAGGTAAGTTTTATGACCAATATTACCATGTGCATTACAGCACAGTGAAACCTTTTAGAATAACTGACCCCATGGTAAACTAAACAATGTGTCAGAAATGTATTACAAAGGCTAAATTTATTGCATTTGGAAGCTGGGGAGTTCATTACCAGAACACAGTGATGCTTATCTCTTCCTTCCAGGTAGTGCAGCTAGGTGTCATCTATGTGCCTTGGCTGAGTGCTAGCAACTGCCACACTTTCCAATAAAATCTAGCCTTTTTAGTGTCATAGAGCTGCACTGCACCCCCCAGCACAGGAACCCTGGCCCCCTCAGGCTTACATCTGCATCCCCATGCAAACCCAAGGTCTGCTCCTTGCAGAGGAGTCCTGTGAGCCACCTGGGGAGCTTTAACCACGCTTCGTATTAGATATGAAAAATATCAATGAAGAGACTTCTGCTTGCTCCGTACTATACCTCCCCACTCTCTAAATAGACGAAAAATCTAGCATATTCTCAACTATTCTTTAGTTTCGCAGGGTAAATGACAAAATGAGTGCAACGCTGCAGTTTAGAGTCTGAAATTCAATTCAAAGAGAACATTCACAGCCTCAAAGGTAGAGAAGAGGTAGAACCTTGTGAAATATAGGGGGTTTATACTTAGACAGGAACACATGATGGATACAGCCTGGGTTCTGCAGTTTAGAAATCAGACAAACTCAGCTGCATTTAAAGGCAGATATGACGTTCCTTATTACTTACATTTTGACTTTGGATTCCAAGGGCTGCAAGTTGATATGATATTTTTCGATATTATTTTCTTCATCCATGCTGAGCTGATGGCTATGGAATAGAAAAGAAAATGGGCTTAATGTGTCTCAGTGTGACATTTTTACAATCGCTGTGAATTCTGAAATTTTGACAAGAACGCACAGAGCTGCTTATTATAAGGTGTTGCTGTCTTTGGAGGAAGGCATCTGCATGCAGCCCCATTTGACTGTTGACAAAAAGTACCAATTTGGATCCAGTTTTCAGATCAGGGCTTGCCCAAGTCCTTCCACTAAACCTTCCAGATGCCACAGCTCCAGAGACAGGCACACCCAGCAAAGAAGCTACTGCAAATAAAAAAACAAAAACCCACTAGCAAATATAATAGATATTCTTGCTAAATTAACTTTCATCCCCGGGGCTACATTTGAAAAGCTGGAGAGTAAAATGGAAAGTAACAATGGTAATGCCGATAGCAAATGAATTACATCAGCAAAAGCCATACAGGAATATGAAGAAAAAATTCTTTGTAATAAATGATGACCGAGGAATTGGTGCTGCAAACTGATCATTTTGAGAAAGCAATTTTAAAATGCTAGAAGATAAAAATCAAAAATCTCAGGATGCTGCTTTGGATGGGACTAGCAACATGTATGAAAGATCTTCGCATGAAAATTTGTAAGATTAGACCCCAACCTGTGGAATTATTTTGAGACTTTACTGGACACTTAATTACATCATTCAATCAGCAGCAGTTTTCAGAAATTATCCTCCTGTAACTGAAAATAAGAATCATTTATGGGAGAGGTGCAAAAGCTTGAATATTTAGTATTTTACCAAGCGAAAAATGTAGTTTACAACAAAGAGACTGTCCCTTAGAAAGGGCTTGTTGCCTTATAAAATCCATTTCACTTTACCACACTTGAAAGACTGCACAAATTGCACATTTACCTTTGCAGAAAGTTTTTGCCATCATTGACCTGTTCCAAGGTGTGCTGGAGCCTTCTGACTTCTTCCTACAAGGAGAGAAAAAAAAAACCACAACATTTCAATGTGCTCATAGGAAGCCTTTAGTTGATATTGGAGATTCCCCCTTCAACCTCAAGATGTTGTGAACCAACCGCTACACAAAATAGTCCCTCTGGTAATGCCTGCAGAGTTGCTTTCAAATTTAAACTTCAAAAATAACTACCAAGTAACCAATATATTTATCAATATGCCCAGCACAAGTTTGAAAGAGAATATCAGACCTACACAAAAATAATAGACAGAGAAAAACAGGAAAGTATTCTTTCATGTCTTAGGTGTGTGGCTGCTTTGATTTGAGAAGAGATAGTACTGGTAAGAGGCAAGGGAGCATCAGCTCATACTTTCAGGCACTTCTCTTTGTTCTGCAATCAAACAGTATTCAGTCTCATAATTAAGAGAGTCACTGGCTGAGATTTACAGCCTGATGCCTTTACCAGGGCATTTCCATCAGATCCCGTTTCAATAGCAGACATGTCACTAATTCAACTGCAGATGCATAGCTGGGGTTCCCTGTATCCATACTTATGTCCGGGGAAAGATCTATCCATGACGTTTAGCACAGAGATATGGCTTAAAAAACTGAATTGTTTAGTTTGGCTGGCAGGGTTTTATTGTTCAGCAGGGGTGGGATTTGAGGGATGGAGGAGAACCTGGTTGCAATGAAGTGCACACTCCATGCAATTCCTGGGCTCAATTTTCCATCCCCTCACAGGGCACAACCCCAGCCCTGCCATCACTGGGACACACACACATAGCACACAGGCCCAGTCTCCTGAAAAGCTGGACTGACAAGCAAACATTGAACCTCCTCAGACGGTATCCCTGTGACACAATGCAAAGAGCATCACCACACCGAGATGCAGGGATATACCTTCAGGTTTGTGTTTATACATCAACTGTTTGATAATTAAGCAACACTGGAAAATGAGAAGCCTATGCAAAACACAAAGATGTTAACTCATTATTTCTTTTAGCTCATTAATTTGGGAATCCAATGTAAAAGCAAAAGCTCCTCGGAGTAAGGAAGGAAGGTAATTTACTTCACATCTACCTTGCATACAGATACAGGATTCCCAGGAAGGCTAAGAACATTAAAAAAGCAAAACAAGGCTATTTTCATCTTGTATATCTTATCTGACCTGGAGATGAATCAAAGATTTTTGTTTCCAATAAGGCTGTTGCCATCTCCAGGAGCGCAGCAGATCAGCCAACTCTACCTTCTGCTTTCCCAAATTAAGCTGATTTTGTGAAACAGAGAAATTTTACATGGTGCTTTCTAATCCTGTACAAGATTCTACCTTGTTCGACATGAAACAAGATCACAGTTGGTAGCTGATTTACTCCTAATACAGCTTTCATTTCCTCCCAGCCTTGGAAGGACTATTACCGCAAAATATGTTTTATGCATAAACTAGATTTGTCAAGACGACAAGTTAGATGTTTCCCCGGTCTTTGCCCCTCTGGGTGTCTAATTGCAGCGCCATTTTGTGGACACGCTGCAGCTGATAAAGCACTGCGTGTGATTCAGGAGGCCTGACTGCTGCCTACTGCTCATCAGCCATTGGAAACAATCCAGTTGTGAAACTTCTTTTTATTTCTGCCTTCCTCTTATTTTTTCCCCCCAGCCTGTTCTGAGGAACACCCTCTTTTGGCACATTTAAAACAAGCAACTTTCAAAATTGTTTTCTTTGAAGCACAGTTCAGTTGAGAAGATAACCTTTTCTTCTCCCATATTATTCTGATGGTCATTTTTTCAGCATATCCCAGAGCTATGTACGGTAATTTAGAATGGGAAAACAATTTGCAATTGACTTTATATATAGCTCTGGGTGACAAAACCTGCATGACTTAAATAAATCATTTCTTGTGTTTGACATCATTTTCTATTAACCTCAGGGTGAAGACTGAACAAAAAAAAAAAGTAAGAACCAAAATTGGTTGTGACATTTTTGACTATTCAGTCTTTCAATTAAACATCACCGGACGGTCTTTATAAAAGCTATAATATAAGGCAACTACAGAAGTGGCATAGTAATGTTTGCATAATTGGGAAGAGAAGGAGACATAAAATCTATACTAATTTCAGTTTTGCGTCATTAACCATGAAGTATTGATTATTGCTCCTTGCAACAAAATTTATGAAGCTAGCTATGCTGCTGCGCCCACAGAAAGTGATTTGGATGCTCTGCCCTCAGCCCCCGGCGCGGTAACTGATGGGTGGCAGTGACAGCCGCGATGCTGCTCTTCCAACCCACAGCCTTAGGAGATGCGTCTCCCAGATTACACCAGGAGTGACCCAGCTGCAAACTCCAACTTCAGAAAATTAAATTGGAAGAGATCCATACTTCTGTTGGAATACATGACGAATTACGAGGCCTCTACGAACCTTGTTATAATGTGAACGGATTGTAAAATTTACTGCGGTTTTTGTTTTCCTGCTTCAGTTGAATACAGACGTTAATAGCAATCGGGTAGTTACAGACACATATAGATGCCTAAGGAAGAAAAAGCAATGAAAGCTTGAAGTGCAAGACTGGTGTTAAGAACAACATAAAGTGTCTTTTTCTAGTCTTTAATGTCCACATTTTGTTTATTTATGCATTAATTATTTTTCAGCCTGTAGATCTGTACTTCCAGGAAACTAGACTATTGCAATGACTTAATTATTGCCAGGAAACCCTGTAACCTTGTGGGACAGAAAAGACCAAGGGGCTCAGGTCTATAGAATCTCGCCAGGGAGAAGCCTCTGTGTAAGTGCTGCCTTAAGCTGCACTGAGCTGGCTCCCAGTGCAGTCCACACATTATAAAAGCCTGGCTTGGATTTGCTGTCAGTATTTAGTTAGAGGAAGAAAATTCTGTGTCCCTCTACCTTCTCCCACTGCAAATCAGCTGTATTTGGCTCCAAGCAGCCCAAGGACAGGCTCTGTGTGCACGTGTCCAGTGAGATGATTTAGCAATCTCAACCAGCTGCCTTCAGCAGTTTTCAGGGTCTGTTTTTTAAAAGAGGGACCCAGAGATTGCCACAGACTTTAGTCCTTCTTTGGGCTTGCACAGAAATGCCATCTCTCGTTTGACCAGCCATGGAGATGATGGCAGCCAGCTATCCGAGACAGGTTCAGACACAGAGGACCAGAAATCTAAAACAATCTAAACGTACTAGTCCTTAAATTCCTTTCAAAGAAGTCTGTTTCAAAAAAACAGTTATTCGTACAAAGTCTAAGGAAAGAAGTCTGCAGATGTTAAATCATACCTAGATAAATATTTACCTCTAACAGCAGGAAACAATTCTTTTTTTTGTTGCTATACCCAAAAAGCCCCCATTCAGGTCAGTGGATCTATTTATATCCGTGGGTTTGGATGAGCACAGAGAAATCAGGGCAGAGGCCACATATTAAAAATTAATTTTCAAAATCCATTTTGGACATGCGTGCTACTGTTTGAATATCTCTGCCTAAGAGGTCTGTCACTTGCTGCTGAATGAGTATACTACTGTGCTTCCCAAGAGGTCAGAGAGATGGAGATAGGAAGAGAAAGCTCCGATTTCAGTAGAACTGCAGCCCAAAAATAGCAGTGAAAAGGTTTGGATTTTTTTTTTTTTTTTTTTTTTTTTTTTAAAATAAAGGGTTCTTATTTAGATACTGAATTTAGGCAGCACAGCAGAGTGAATGACATTTATGCGAAGCGATATTATTTCTCATATTTTCCCTAAACTTGAAAATTCTGGCATTGATTCCTTGCTCACTTCCCACTGCACTAAACTGGTACTTCTCAGATACTGACAGCCATGCACATAAGGTGAATAAAGATTGAGACAATTGTCAATCTATCCAGTAGAAGTGCTGGTGCTTCAAAGTTTTTTGTGCAGACTCTATTCTGATGCTGGTAAGAATTGTTGGTTGACTTAACATCTAACATTTCTGTATACTTTTCCTTGGAAGTTTTGAGTCTTGCTAAGCTTGTTAAAGCATGATGCTCATCTGGTTATGAAATACATCTTTTTTTTTTTTTTTTTTACATTTTAGAATTAAGAGTGAGTATGGCAGTTATTCAAACATGTTTGCTTTAGGTAGTTCTCTATTTCATTGATGTTCTTCCAAATTTCAAGAAAAGTTTTTTTGAATGGTGATTTTCTATTATGCAGGAAAACTCCCACTTTTGTGCGTCTCTTCCTCTCCTTACTTGCAAGTAAGTCACTTGATGAGACACCACAGTGATGGGAGAAACCTGTCATCGGAGTGGCACAATTGCTCTCACCCCGTTGGAGCAGGATGCCCCCCCTCATGTTGGGCTGCAGGGCACTGGTGAGCACAAGGAGGATGCTGGAAAGGGGCTGGAGCATCAGCCCACAGCACCCAGGTGAGGTGCAGCAGAGCAAAGCACAGCCCAACCACTGCTGTGAAGGAGAACTATGTCTCACCAGCCTGCCAGTGCTACACAGGGAGGGAGTTAGCGCCCAGAGGTTTAATTTGGAAATATCAATAAAGATCACTGGGGCTTTCACAGCCATTCTTGCTAGCAAATATGTTAGCCTGTCTCATCATTGCAGAGCTGCTGCATAGAAAGGCAAATGTATGAGTTCTCCGTTACACTGACACAAGCATGTGCAAAACCAATCCTTCCTTTGCCAGCGCAACTTCTGAAGTGATGGCACAGCTAGGGCAAGCACAGCTGAAGGCAGTCTGAAGCCAAAAATGCTGCAATGCCGCTGTCTTTAAGAGCAGAAGCCATGCAGTATCCATCTTCCGATCAAAGCCATCTGATGCCTCTTTCTGTCACTTATTAGGAAGCCAATTTATAGGCTTTAACATTCTCACCTCCTGCCATTTTCCAATCCTGTGATCATTAGAGGCAGATAGAAAAATAACAAAGCTCTCTCTGCTGCTGCTCACTTCCCCCAGTCCATCATGCCAGTCTAGGGACAGCACACTCAGTGTTCAACCACCTTTAGCACCAGCTCTGAGCCATTTGCCATTCATGTTCCAGCACA